TGCTGATGGTGAGGAGAGGGTCTCTCCCAGTTGTGTGGGAGCCAAAGTGCTCTAAGATAGGACTGGGCCAGGTAGCAGAACTAAAAATGAGAACGCCTCCATTTTCTCCTCATAACACTGGCACATAAGCAGCGTAGGGAAGAAAATCAGCATGTTTCAAAGTCAGAGACAAAAACTAAACTGAGAGGAAGTCGGGGTGTGCTGAGCCAAGATTACAAATTGAATGTGTCACAGCAGGCCTGGGCCTGGGTTTCCAGGTGTCTGTCAGCCCAGAGACAAGGAGCCTGTGCTCTGCCTGAGTATCTGGAGGTCCAGAAATTCTTTCTAGCCAGCATCCGCTGATCTTCCCCAACCTTCGTGCTCAGTCAGGAGAAAGGACTCCTCCAGGGACACTCACATGTAGTGTACCAAGCATTATCATAGGAATGTTTCCAGCGATGGGGCATCTACCACCTGTTCCAGTGTTTCACCACCCTCATTGTGAAATATTTCTTCCTTAGATCTAGTCTAAATCTGCCCTTTTTTAATTTAAAACCATTACCCCTTGTTCTATTGCTACAAGCCCTGCTAAAAAGTCTGTCCCCATCTTTCTTATAGGTCCCCTTTAAGTACTGGAAGGCTGCAATAAGGTCTCCCCACAGCCTTCTCTCCTCCAAGCTAAACAGCCCCAACTCCCTCAGCCTGTCCTCCTAGGGAGAGGTGTTCCATCCCTTTGATCATTTTTGTGGCCTCCTCTGGACCCTCTCCAACAGGTCCATGTCTTTCCTATGCTGGTTGTTAGAGGGTATGGGAGGGGAAGCTGTCTGCAGTTGCAATCCTAAGAAAAAAAAAACAAACATGTTGAGCACAAGGTGTGAGAAACAATGCTGGCCGTGGGAGGACACAGGCATGTAGCTCAGCCATAAAATGTCAATGTGACACTGCTGACCACAGTTTGTTGCTTCATATGTTTATTTTTTAATCAAGAAAATTGCACATGCAGTGCAACTTTCATAGTGCACTTTCATAAGAAATGCTAGGATGAGGTTGTGTGTGTAACCTTTTTCTTGTACATGTGCTTTATGGTAAGCTAATGACATGAGCACCTGCCCCCTTCTGTCCTGTATTCTCAACTTACTCATGTGCCAAAAAAGACAACACTCACCTGTTCATCACATGACTCCATTCTACTCAAGCCCTTGCCTGAAGGCAAAGTTTTTAATTTTGGCAGGCTTCTTACGGTGCTTGTCTGAGTGTGTTATAAACAAAAGCAAAAACACTTTGCTAGCAGGTTTCTGAAATGGAGGGCCTGATGCTGTCCCTATTTTATAGACAGCAATTTAAGATATGTAAGGGCTTAGGACAAAGGACTTATTGGAGTACCTTTAAAATACCTTTGACTTCGTGATAACTTTGAGACTGCAAACCTGATTTTGAATTTTTTTTTTCTTTTTTCTTGAGTACTTAGAGAACAAGGTGTTATATTACTGTAAATGCAGCGCTGTGGAGTGCCTGGCTATATTTGAGGGCATAGCGTCTCTGCAAATCAGACTTAGAGATTCACTCAGAAAATGGGAAGCATGAGCTAGTGACTGCAGATGCAAAATCTGGCTACCGAGGATTGCCTGGGTGCACGTTATAATTTTCTGGGAGAAAGCAGGTAGGTATTCAGCTGAGAGATCACCCTCACTGCTTCACTGATCCCCTGACTCTCTTGACTACCTGTTTCAGCTTTTCTAGCAGACCTACAGAGAGAGACCTCCCTTGTTTTGCCTATGGTGGCTGTCATGGTTTAACCCCAGCCAGCAACCAAGCACCACGGAGCCGCTCACTCACTCCCCCCAGGTGGGGTGGGGGAGAGAATCAGAAGAGTAAAAGTGAGAATACTCATGGGTTGAGATAAAGACAGTTTAATAGGTAAAGCAAAAGCCGCACACACAAGCAAAGCAAAACAAGGAATTCATTCACCACTTCCCAGCGGCAGGCAGGTGTTCAGCCATCTCCAGGAAAGCAGAGCTCCATCACATGTAACAGTTACTTGAGAAGACAAAACGCCATAACTCCCAACATACCTCGCCCCGCTGCCTTCTTCCCCCAGCTTTATATGCTGAGCATGATGTTGTATGGTAGGGAATATCCCTTTGGTCAGTTGGGGTCAGCTGTCCTGGCTGTGTCCCCTCCCAGCTTCCCGTGCACCCCCAGCCTTCTTGCTGGCAAGCCAGAGCATGAGAAGCTGAACAGTCCTTGACTGCTTAGCAACTACTGAAGCAGTATGCTATCAAAATTATTTTCATCCCAAATCCAAAACATAGCCTCACAGTAGCTTCTAGGAAGAAAATTAGCTCTATCCTAGCCAAAACCAGCACATTCTCCACCCCTTACTCCGTATCACTTACATCATGCTCAGGTCCCACAGTATCCAATACAACCTCATTAACCACCCATCCCTTCCCATCCTTTGATATAATATGCAGATATCATTCCCTTAGTCTGTGGACCACCTCTGTAAGATGTCTGTAGAATGCCCACAAATGTCCACTGAGTTCATTTAGTCCGTGACTTTGGGCTCCATCTGTTATGGTGATCACTCAGAACAGGAGAGGTGCTGTGTGGCGTGGAGTTACAAGGCACCAAAACCAGCTCAGGTCGGGTCACTGCTGCCCTTGCACTGCTTCTTGTAAGACTTCTCCTCCGCTGGTTCAGGTGGTTCCTGCTATAGTATTTCCTATAACATGCAACTCAAGTTATGGGTTACAACAATTTAAAGGTATTTCCATTACACCAGAGCAGGTCCAGCCTGCGCTCTAAGAGAAATGGGAATTTTATTGGAAAAAAGGCTTGTGATAGTGTAATCAGAGGCTGTCACCAAGCCCATGGACTGAGCATACACCCTAAAATTTGGTAACTCCTGAGCTCTTTGTTTTGCAAATTTGCTGTTTTAATATAATTTTATGTGCTACCTACATAAAATTAGCACTTTGAATTCTGGGGAAGAAAGGATTAGAAGTAAAGTTTTTAAAGCAGAGGCAGAATGAATTGGTATTTGAAAACTTCTAAATAACCATATTTGTATAAGAAAGTGGAGGTTTTACTTTTAGTCTATGTGTAAACTCCTGTAATATTACAGAGCAAAGTTTTTCTCCGTGACATTTTAGCTGAGGATTCCATAGCTTTGATCATAAGGGATGTACATCTCTAGACTTTGCTTTTTCTTTAATGAGCTATAAAAGTAGTAATCCTTGCTCTTATATAAAATACTGCTTCATATATAGTACTTTTATAATCATAATATGTAAGTGCATAGATCTCACTTTTAATGAATCCAGTGCATTGTAATCTAAAATCTGATGTCATTAGTTTGTACCACAGGCATATTTCTCAACAACACATGTAAATCATGTCAGTATTGAAATTGAACTCAATCAACCGTTATAGGTGAAATTTAGTAAGATACTGTGATGTGCTGTATATGGCTTAAGTTCTTAATTCAGATGTTTACAGAGCTTTTGCAAATGAACTGGGATCCTCTGTTACTGGGTTGTCTTTCTGATCCATTTGCTCAGGCAGCACTGCAGACTTGTTCTGCAATAACCACAGAGGGGGTGCACTGCTCCACAGGGTGAGGGCGAACGGCTGAAGGTGAAGGGCAGCAACTCTATGCGGTGTATCGGTGTACCGCAGCCAGCGCCCTGTGGTGTCAGGTTAGGTGGCAGGGAACCACAGCAGGGGAAGGGGGTGGTGGGAAGCACAGCCAAGGATGGGGGCCCACTTGAAATGCTTTGCTGCTCAGAGGCTTTTGGAACTCTAGCTTTGAGTTTTTCCCCTTTTCGTGGCATGTTCTTAATGTTTCTGCTTGTTCCACTGTCACTGTCTTGTTAACGTGGGGAAATTCAGATCACCTTTCCCTCCCTGGCCTGATGACTGGAATTGGCTGGGCCTCTTGTGTGCAACTCCCAATTTTGTGAAGTGGGGGCTTCCTTTTTGCAGGTCACTGAAGAAGCCAGGTCAGTGCAGTCCCAGAGAATGTTGTTAGAGAACAAAATCATGCTTCCCATTGCTGCGGGAGCAGCACAAAGCCCATTTCTTCTCCTGGATTTTCTAGTGTCTTTTGCAAAGCTGATCACTGAGTCTGCAGCTCCCTGCTAGTGATTGCTCGCCACCTTAATTAGCTCACGGGCCAGCTGATTGTTTCTGAATGGTTCTTCTGCCCCAGCATTCAAATAGCAGTAATGACCCTGTAGCCATTGTTTAAGGGGAACTTTTTGTACTATTTAGCTCTTTTACTTTTCTGGCTGTTCTTTTCCACCCCACCATCCACATTTATTCTGCTCCCCAGCACCAGCTTTATTTATAACAGGGAGGGCAAGGCACCTTCCTCTCCCTCCACCCCCTAATAGCTTCTCTGTTACCAGTTGTTTTCTAAACCAAAAATCCCTTTCAAGAAGAGCGTACATGTAGGTTCACATTTGCACCTGGGGTACGCTTTTTCTTTAAGCTATGATGGAAAGAAGCTTACTTGGGTACTATTGTTCATCAAAAGTAAAACAAAGAGCCAATGACTTACTGGAGTGAATTAAAACTTTTCTCCCATGCAGTTCAGTTCCCAGCATTCATTCAAAATTTTCAGAGAGATTCAACTCTTGTCTTCTTAATAGACATAGCAGTCCTGTTGGTAATCGGCCATGCTCTTCTCTCCTCAGCCATCCCAAAGAGATCATACCAGTTCCTCTAGGAAGTTTCTGGAGCTGTTTTTGGCGATTCTTGTTACTGTTTGCCTTCAGCTTTTCCTTCCTGGAGGCTGCCTGGGTCAGCACCTTGCTCCATTTTTGCTGGTGTTTGTAGCAAGGCTCCCTCTCCTCCTAATCCCCAAAGCCTTTGAAGCAAAGAGGTCTTTTTTGCTTACATTTGCTCTGTTACTGAACTGAGGGTTCCCCTGTGTGAGCCCTGCTGGACCAGCCAACTCAGCAGCAAGTACAAGCACACAGGTTTCATTCTGTTTCATACTGATGTCTCTTTTACAGGAGTTATTCAGCGTTGCACTGCTGTGAAGTACCACTACACCTCCAGCTCTCTGCCTCGCAACTTACCCATCAACATCACAAATACCATCCGGCAGGATGAGTGGCATGCTCTCCGTAAGTAACCCAAAGCAGCGTACAAGACTGTATTACTTGAACGCCTTAATGCAATGCTGAGTGAGGGCTCTGAACCAGCTAAGCATAAATATATATTTGTTTGTGAGGAAGGGCAAGCAGCCGACAATATAATTGGCAGGGGACATGATATTTGGAGGGGTTTAAGTGGTGAATTCAGGAAGACAGGTATGTGTGTAGTGTGTTGCAAGGTGTAATCATATTCTAGATCTGGGGACAGACAATTCTTAGCTGGCTTACAGCAAAGGTGCTGCATCACCATATAGTCTGTATAGATCTTGTTGCATTTCTCTGTGTGCACACCAGCGACCTGGTGCAGCTCCCTGGCAACCAGCTCTTTTAGGAACATCTCAGTTTGTCTTTGCAACCTCCTGTTACGAGCTCCTGGCCCACAAGCTGCCTCATGCCCAAGTCCTTCCCTCAGAGATGACTGACCTGTCACTGAGAATGAGTTAATAATTTTTTTCTGCTCCTGCTTCTCCCTTTGTTTGTTTTCTGGTTCTGTTGCCTCACATAATTCTGCCTAGCCCCTGTCATGAGGCCTCAGTACTGAGGAAATCCAGATAGAGACTGAACTAGGAGGAGACAAGAACAACACTTGTATTATGGGTGAGAGAGTGCTCTTCATATCACTGGTGCCCAAGGTTTTTTTTTAGAGCTTGTTACTGGAGTTGTTCCCGTCATACGGTATTGATCTGCTTGTCTGCTTCTGTCCTCCCACTATTCCTCTTTTCAGTTCACACTGTCTGCCTTCCATGCACTAGTCCTTTACTTCTCTTCAGTGTCCCCTCTCACTTCTTTTATTTCTATTTTCAGCAGACACCCACCCAGCAAACTCCATCCCAAAGAAACACACCACATGCACACAAAAAAAAAAGCCCTTGCAGTACTAACATTTACAAATCATTGCTGAATTCATAATGCATTCCTCCTGTCCCATGTTGGGGAATGTTTGGCCAGTATTCCTCTTGATCAGGACAGAAACACTCTCTATTTGTACAGTGCCCAGCAGAAGGGAGTCAAGTTAGCTGGCTTCCCTTCATTTCAGTGTAATGGGCAAACTATCTACCTCAAAGAAGCTACAGGAGGAGTCATTCATGGATGAAGTATAATATTTAGAACCAGCAAATCTAAATCTGTCTGGACTCTCCCCTGGCTGTCCTGTCTGGGTGCCGCCATCTTCATGTCTTCTTTCTTGCTTTTCTCCTTTCTCTTTCCTCAGATCTGCGGAGGATGACAGCTGGCTTCATTGGCATGGCCGTCTCCATCATCCTATTTGGGTGGATCATTGGTGTTCTGGGCTGCTGCAAACAGCAGGAGCTCATGCAGTATGTGGCTGGGCTGCTCTTCCTAATGGGAGGTGAGGGCCTTTCACTTCTACTCCTGAAGTCACCACAGTCAGTGTTGCTGGCTGGGGAAGTGCTCTTAAAACTAAAGTCAGCCCACAGTAAACACATGAAGCAGTTCTTTAGTGCAGCAAACCATGAGCACAGCACAGAGTTAGCACTTCCAGCACTGGGCAGGACCTGTGCTTGCATGGGTATTTGCATGTTTCTGAGTAGACACGGCTGTATGTACAAGAGCCTTCTGCTCTGGAGAGCTGGTGTGTAGCCACAGGGACCATGTCCATGATCACAGTCCGCTTGCCTGTTCTGGGTGTGTGGAGACTGTGGCTCCTGTCAGACAGCTCAGCTCAGTTTTCCCTAGGGAGTCTTAGCAAACAAAAAGAAAATCAATGTAGAACACCTTTCTGCTGCTCAAAAATGCTCACATCTTTGAGTAATAATGAAGTCCGAACCCAGCCAAGCCTGGAGAACATTGTCCCAGTGGTAAGAACATGAGCTCAGGGCTTGCCAGGGGTGTTACATCCTATTCCTCCTGGCAGGGAGCAGACTTTCTGCATGGCTAAAGGTTTTTCTGAACTTTGATTGTTCAGCTCAAAAACAGGCAGTGTTTCGTCTTTATCTGAAAGGGGCATAGTTGCAACAAATGCACCAAAAGGGTGAGCTACTGAGATGCTCCAAGGGTGTGGACTCTTAAATTGCAAGCAGTGAACAGGCAACTTGCAAGTATGAAAAATGAGGCTCTACTTAAAAGCCAGAGCTGCTACCTTAGAGGCCCCGGGTCAGCATCTATAATGGCTGCAAGCAAGGAACTTGGTGATATAACAGCATCTATATCAATTAAACAGTAGGTGTGACACTGGTTTGGAGCCATTTTTGGTGTGTGTGTGAAGAATCTTCCCTTGCCATAAGTGAGCCTTCTCAAGGAGTGTTTTTGGGGAACTGCACAGAAAACCACCCTGCTGACATGGCGTGATGCTAAAAAGGCTAGAAGTTAGGCTTGTGCTGTCCTTGATCATCTTACGTGCTGCTTAACTGCTGTTTCCTTTGGGAACATATTCATTTCTTTATTGCACAGCAGTGAGAAAATATTGTAAGTGGAACAGGTAGACTGGGTCCCCTTTGTGTCCTTCTGCACTTACTGTGATGGGCATGCTGTCAGCAGTAAGAGTTGTCATTGGTATTTAGACATAGATGCAGAGCCAGAGAGAATAAAACGATCACCTCGACCTTGAGTCTAGTGTACTGGTGTATATTAGACATACTAGAGTGCCTTGTGTTATAAGTTTCTTCAGCTTTTATGCTCCCCTATATAGGTGCTTAGTGAATGTGTAGCAGATGACAAAAACCTGGGCACTTTCTCTGGGCCTAGGCTACAGCTGGGAGGAGCCCGGATGTTCCTAGTAGAAACCAAGCAGTGCTGCACTTTGCAGCCCTGGTCTTCAGCTATCTACCTTCCATAGGAGAGGCTGCCCAAGTACTGTCTGGAATCTGATGATGTTTGTCATCAGAAATAAATACTCAGGAGAATCAAAGAATGGCTGAATTTGAAATAGCGACAGAAGGAGCTAAGGCAATATTGGTTATTGTGAAGTGAGGTATCCTGTAGTCCTACATATTTTGCCTTTTTTTTTTTTACCTTTGTAAGAAGAGTGACTGGTGGGACTAAAAAAAAAAAAAAAAACAAAACAGGAAATTCTTGATTTTGAAAATACCTAGGGAAAAAAAAACAGATCGTAATTAACCTGTCTTGAGGGCAGTGTAGAACCCTCTTGCTTTTCTCCTGCAGGTACATGCTGTATCATCTCACTCTGCACATGTGTAGCTGGAATCAATTTTGAGTTATCTCGCTATCCTCGCTACGTCTATGGGCTGCCAGAGGACATCAGTCATGGCTATGGCTGGTCCATGTTCTGTGCCTGGGGAGGCCTGGGCCTCACCCTGCTGGCTGGGTTCCTCTGCACATTGGCCCCATCACTCAACACTTCTCGGGCATCTGTACAAAAACCCAGACAAGAAAATGGGGCCGTGTGACCTCAGAGGGATTGAGGAGAGACTCTGGAAAGCGCAGCCTGGGCAGAGCTGTGGGTTAACACCAGGAAGAGGTGGCATGTCACCGTGTGGAGAGCAGCACCAGAGCTGTGGAAATACCAGCCCGTGGGATGCTGCAACAGCCTACAGTCGTGGACAGAGACATTGCAAGTAACTCCAAGTTTGAATTATTGGTGATTGCTCATTGATGGTTTAAGGGGGACAGTTCTTTTGATTTGTTTTTCTTCTGTTTGCAAAGGATTAAGAGTCCAAGGCTGTGTCTTTTTTTGTGCTGTTTTTTGAACTGTACCTTCATGGTCCTGTTATTGTCCAGTTGTAAGGGATGTTTACGCACCAACTCTATTGCTGCAGGTCTGTGTAATTCAGACCCAAATTAGGGCAAGGAGCTACGTGAAGTTGGCTTGAACACTTTTGCAACAGGCGTGTCTAGTGTTGGCTCAGGCCATCATTTCCCAAAAGAACCTTGATCTAAGCTGAGGTTTAGGCCAAAGAAATTAGCCCATTTTTAGTATTAATTAATTTAAATCCGAAATCTGTGCTATTCCATGCTGTGGTTATCAGCTATTTACTCATTACTAAAGCCGCTTCCAAAAGGAGCCGGCTGTAACTGAGCAGCAAGACTCTAAAAAAAACTCTTACTGGCTTTAGGAAAGGAGGGGAAGGTTTTCCTCAGCTTCTTACACAGGTAAGGTTACTCATTTGGCTAACTAACATACCCTTGTTTTAATGGAGAGAGGTATGCAACATGCAGCTTAGAACTATTCCGCTAGAGGCCAGGGTGTATTTCAGAAAGTATGTCATAGTTTGAGCTGCCAGGATCAACTTTCACCCCCAAGCTAACTCCTGTGAAAGGAGATGAGTAATTCTCCCTGAGCTCGAAGAGCAGTACTGCTAGAAGAACAGACAATGTAGAGTCCTCTCTAATATTAATGTCCAAAGGAACCACAATGTATTTTCCTCAGGAACACGTGACTTCTGCTCACTTCACCACTCACCCACTTCTAATGTCAAATGCCCCCTGAGCACAGCGCATCAAGAACACGCATGCTCCGCTGGAACAAGCGCCCTCTCCAAAATGAGCAGTAAGGACCTGGAACTAGTGCAAGTACTAGGGCTAACTCAGGAACATCAGCCAAAGTACGCTGGGGTGCATTTTTTTTTTTTCATTCATCTATTCTTTCTTCCTTCACATCCCTGCCCTTCTCCCAAGTGTCCAAAAACTGCACAGGTAAAGATGAGATGGCCAGCATCTGGAGATGTTTACATTGTATTTAAAATACAATACAGTGGCATGTAAGATACTTAATTCTAAAGTCAGTGTATTTATGAAAAAGTGTAATTTTTAAATGGAAGTTGTAATTCTCAACTGGCATTAAAAGTGCTAAAAGACTTGCTCAGTGGATGAAACCTTGAATTCTTTCTGACTAATTACTGGACTGATTCACTGGAGAGCTCACATACATATCAGCAATGGTGTTAAAGCTTCCAGAGTTAAGTTTAAATGACAAAGTTAAAATGTCATTCATGTATGAATTGTGTTCACTCCTCCTTTGCAAAATAACTCTCTGAGTCAAAAGTTTCAAAGACTCTAGCACAGCTGTACAGTCTGTTCACTGGCCGCACAGGTGAAAAGAGGGGATGCTGTCTGAGCTGCAGGTCATCAATTTCAGAGTACACTTACTGCAGTATAACCTGCTGGTCCTCATCCAGAAGTAGCAGAGCAGGATTTAATCCAGTTCTAGCAGGAGGAGGCTCCAAAGGCAGCATGATGGGCACTGTGGACAGGAGGTTCTCACCTTCCCTTTTGTAGATGTAGAACCACCAAACAAGGGCAACAGCCTCAACACATCACGGATTTGGTTTTAGAGGGAAAAAATGCTTTATTTTTTCCAGACAGAAAGTAAGTGGTACAGTCCAGTCTGTCCTGTGCCAAGGCCACAACCTTGACTGGGCAGAGATCAGGCATAGTACTGCAGGTTGGCTTTTTTCTTTGCTTGAACCTCCAGAATTCCTTCCATGTAGTCCTCGTGGGTGAGCTCTGTAGCTCCACGGCGGAGGGCAATCATCCCCTGCCCAATGAGACAGTATTTAGAGAGGGCATGTGTGCACCACATCAGTTCAAAGTCATTACTCCATGTTAGCTTTCACATTTCCCTCCTATCAGTGCCAGGTACTGTAGAGGAATACCTACCGCTTCAACGCACACAGCCTTGCACTGGGCTCCATTGAAATCATCTGTACAGCGAGCCAGTTCCTCGTAGTTCACGTCAGGGCTGGTATGAGCAGGAGAGGGAAAAAAAAAAACTGTCTGAGAACATGTACCAAATAGAAAAAGCAAGGTATGGAGCTTCCTTAAAACCCAACCGTGAGCTCTCAACAAAAGAGCGCACCTACCACTCCACAGCCCTGAGGTACCATAATGAGTGACAAATACAGCCTCAGAAGGCCATGCCTCTTCCATACCTGACATTCATTTTGCGTGAATGGATCTGCATAATTCTGGCTCTGGCCTCCTCATTAGGCATTGGGAACTCAATTTTGCGATCTAATCGTCCAGAGCGGAGCAAAGCTGGGTCCAAGATATCAACCCGGTTGGTTGCAGCAATCACCTAAGTAGAAGTAGGGTCATCAGTCTGAGGCACCTGGAGGACAGGCCTCTCCTCCCCAAGGATCCACCAAGCTTCTTCCCTGGACATTGTTTTCCATCCCCTGCTAGAGAGCCCTGGACCTCAGTAGCACTCTACTAGATCCCAACCTTGACTTGTGTGTTGGGCTGGAAACCATCAAGTTGATTAAGCAGCTCCAGCATGGTCCTCTGTACCTCCCGATCACCAGCCTTCTCACTATCAAACCTGAGGAGAAAAGGGTAAAACTATCAAGTGTGAACCTGACCACTCTGCCCTTATGTTTTTAATCACACAAAAGGACATCACACAAAAAGACAGAAAGACTGCAGTTCACACTCCTTGGCCAAGGTCTTCCAAATTCCTCCTTGAAACTACAGGAAGCCCTACCTTGACAAGGACTACAGCTAGAGTAACTGTCAGCAGCAGCTAAGTCTATGTCCTTAGAACAGAATGGGGCTAATGTTGTCCAGGCCCAAGTAGTAAATGAGGGTGAACATCTCCGTGTGCCTGATGCAGTTATCAGAAAACAGTGTTATACAGTAGGAGACCATCAGATAGATCCCAAGTCTCATAACTTCGCTCGTGAGCCTAAGGCTTGTGGCAGCTGCCATCTGTCTGTGATTGACTTTACACTCTGTTTCTGAATAGGCCATGCCTTAACCTAGGCTTCCCTCAGGAACACAGGCAAAGGGGGCTGCCAGGCAGCTCCCAAGAGCTTTACAGCATGGCCTACACCTCACCTTTTAGTGCCAATGGCATCCAGTTCGTCAATAAAGATGATGGAAGGAGCTTTTTCCTTGGCTAGAGCGAAAGCATCACGTACCAGCTTAGCTCCATCACCAATGAACATCTGCACAAGTTGTGGACCCGCAAGTTTCAGGAACGTAGCCTGGGAAGTCAAAGAGAATCCTGTGCCTTGTTTCTCAATGGGGTCAGTTCAGAGTACTACAAGAGGCCCTTAATTAAAACAACGAAGCAAGCAAACAAGAAAATCCCAGCCTTTGTAACATCAGTTTGTATGCATGACCCCTCTCCCCCTTTGTAACATCAGTTTGTATGCATGACCCCTCTCCCCTTGGAGGCATTCTTACCCTTTTTCAGGTACTATTATACAGCACCACATGCTTCCAAAGGTTCCTTTTACCTTGGTCTGGGCAGCACATGCTCGAGCTAAAAGTGTCTTTCCTGTTCCTGGAGGCCCGTACATAAGGACTCCTTTGGGCGGCTGTATGCCCAAGTTTTCAAATTTCTCCTTGTGATTCATTGGCAGGACAATAGCCTCCACAAGCTACAGCAAAACAAAAATATTAAAACATAAACCCATTCTCCTCCTGCTGCCTGCTTTGAGCTGAAGTTCAATGACTGTTTTCCTCAGTCACACCAGAAACTACACATAAAGTATCACCTCTTGGATTTGTTTATCCAGCCCCCCGATGTCACTGTACTGCTCTGTGGGCCTCTCATCCACCTCCATGGCTTTCACCCGTGAATCATATTCAGTAGGTAGAGTCTCCAGGATCAAGTAAGAGTCTTTGTTCACCCCCTGCAAATACAGGTCCTTTGCTTTTATCAGGCCCTTCAGACAGCAATTCGTAAATATGCAATCAAAATGATTCACTAGAGATCAAGGATGCAGGAATAACCAGCTTTGATATTGGCACTCATCAAATCACCACAGCTTGGCACAGGGGACAATGCCACAGCTAACCTAGCACATTTTAAAAGAGGGGTCCAATTTACTTACAATACAGAAGACTGGTTTTAGGAAGCTTACCAGGTGATATCTAAATTTCCAGCACCTTAATTGTATGTATAAAGAACACACACTCCAAACTACTTTTCTATACTACAAATAAGACTAAACCCATAATATCTTTTTGTTAAAATTTTAGTACAGAAATGGTCTTGGGAGAAATCTGGACAGATTTGTCTCCTATCTAAAGGGCAAGACATAGACAATTTTCTGGCCAACATTGTATCTAACAGTCAACAGTCCATCAACAGTCAACATACCAACAGCATCACTCACCACTAGATCTCCAGGCTTCAACTTCTCAGCATCAACCAATCCAATAACAGGAAGGAAATATGTCTGTAGGAAAGAAATCAAAGTAAGCAAAACCAGCCGTACTAGGAGAAGGTCCTTTTCAGCATCCCTCACACCTATCTGGGCACATGGGTCTTACCTGGCGCGTAGAGGTCTTGATCACAGCACACTTGCCCTTTCTCTGGGAATCCAGGTCAATGTTTGCTCCATCCTCCTCCTGGTCATTGGGGTCAACATCCAGCAGCTGAAAACCAGAGCAAGAGATTTCATGACAATGTAGCTGGGCTAGCAGGATGACCCCAGCATTAATGCTTCTGAATTACATGCAGGAGGAGAAATAAAACTTCCCATCATCTATCAGCAGTAGAATCCTGAAAGCATTAAAGCCCTCCTGTAAAAATCCATTTCTTCCTTTCCTCATGAAGCAGCACACAACAGTGCATAGAAAGACACTATAAAGCTCAGAACAAAGTAATAGCTAAATGGCACCAATTTCTCCTCCCACCACAGCTCACGTTAAGCCTTAAGTTCATTAAGTTTTAAAACATTAGTACAAACCAACACGCTTTTTTAAAAAATAGACGACTATCAGCATTTTTTTGGCTGATGAGCAAAATTAC